TTGGGGATCAATACACAGTTCCTCCCTGCACGTGTTTTGTTTTGTTTAGCTACGTCCAGCGCTGGTGAAATTCAATGACTTATCCTGCAGCAGCTGAGCAGTTTCATTACACTTGTTTGTTTATGTACATATGATAGCAATTGTTTTATTTACACTTAAAAGATTGAGTACCGTAATGATTGAAATTACCAGAGGCCTTTGGAGTGTCCAAAGGTCTACATTAGACCTTTTTGACAAGCCTTCTGTAATGAGTGTTGGTTTTGAACAAACTTTGTTTTCTTATGCTTTATAAACGCAGTCATTGTACTTTCAATGACAGATCACGTCATTACTGCAGCAATTAAAATCACAGTCATACTTTCGATTTAGCCTTCATCTTTATTTTTTTTAAAGTATTTCCAGTTTTTTATTTTTTTTACATGCAATTTGTTCTTTGATTCATCGTCCTTGTCAAACCTGTGCCATTCTGCATATGGATCACACTGTGTTGGAAGTGTTGCTCATTCAGTCGGTGTGTTTTATAGCCTGGCTCTTGTTTGTCCAATGCACCAGGCCACTATCTGGGCAGAACAGCTTTAGGTGGTATCAACCCAGTCCTGTATCCCATTTAGATTATGGATGGATGGTTATTACTTCCTCCAGGCTGTCACTCAGATTAAAGCAATATGTGGCTGCACCAGGCTTATCACAGAGAACCTTTCTCCTTGGAACCTGGAGCTGCCCATTTAAACAAGGCGTCTCCCCAATGCGTTAACAAATGCATTACCACTGTCTCAAGATGTGTGAGGAATTGCAGCATTAAAAGGATAATGACATACATGCAGATTTACCATATGGTGAGTGGGATGAACACGACTGTTTACTGAGTGGCATAAGCTTTACATACTGTGACATTTCCTTAATTTGAGCTGTAGAAATTCATGTGGGAGGCAGCTATACAGTTTATATATCAAGTATATATCGTACAGGCTCATTAACATTTGAAAATATTAATGATAGTACTTTATAAAACACTTTTTTGGACACTCAAAGATGCTACACATGGCATTCACACTCACTGGCATATCTCATCTGTGCAATATGTGTTAGAAAAGTCAAATTGTTTATTGTGGTGCATGTTGCAATAGGATCTTACTTGACTTGAGTCTTTCTTGTGCTGTAAACCAATTTGGATTTCCAGATACAAACTATATAATATTCTTTAATGTTAGATAAAAATAAAATGTTGTTGTTATTATTATTAATAGAAATCAGGGTGTTTTCAGGTTGCAGATGTCAATCATCCATGTAGAAGCCATCTATTGTTTCTTTCCGGTAAAAATTAATACGTTCGGAATCTGCACCTCAAAAAGAATATTTTTGCACTACTTTAAACCATATTTTGCATCTGGTATTTTTGTGGATTTCTGCAAACATTGCAGATTTCATAAACATTTTTAATTAGAACCATTGTTTCTGAATGATCCTTCTTAGGTCTCTAGATTATGTCCGGATACATAACGGTCGACACAATTCCTGCCTGATTTTTTTAGCTTTGCTTTCAATATACATTATTTTAAGAAATAATATTTAGTTTTAAGTGTGTATAACGTGGAACGCTATTAATAGTATCAAACTGCTTCTACATGTCGATTTTTCCTCAAGACAAGTCATGCCTGCATTAAAACGCACTATTTTATTTTGGCACGTCATTACTAAAACAGCCTTGTGTCAGTTATATTACAATACGCAACTGCAGAGATAGTGTATTAATAATGTATGTACGAGACTCAGCAGCTCCAGTGTGGGCTGGAAAAGCAGCTCTTTCATCTGTTTGTTTATGTGGGGGATTCGCCGTCTGCATTGGGAGCCATCTTTTTGTTTTTTTTATTGTATGTGTGAGCGCGTGCATGGTGCCTGTTTAAGTATGCGTCTGTGGCCTGCGTCTGTGCTTCTCTTGACCCGTTTGGTTGAGCGCGAGAAGAGAAGAAAACCGCACTATAACTAAAGCGTGGAATGTGCAGGGATGTTGGGATTACTGTGGTCCTTGTGAATGCAGAGACCACCACAAACTTCAAGAGTGGGAAAGACGGCCGTTGATTCAGAATATATTTTCATCTTGGAATAATCAATTGTCTGAGTTTTTAGTAATAGTATAGTTATATATACTTGTGTAGGAGGGGGTATACCTGAAATCATGTTTGTGCATAGAATGGAAACTCATAACATTTCCTAAATAAATGTTTCTCACTTCAAAAGAAAGTGAAGAAAAACACATTGATTTCCCAAGGGATCAACATAAAGCACTTGTGTTCTAGCCTGGAAAAGCTTCAGTGAAGATTTTGGAGCCACCTCAAAGCCTGTAAAAAGTTTATATATATTATTTTTCTTACATAGTCTGGCTCCAGTGATCCTAAATATGAATCAATTCAGTATTTCCGTGACAGCTATGACTAGATTAGACTATGTGGGAAATATATATAGTGTCATGTTGTTTTCAAAATGTTTCCAATTGTAATGTTTAGTATTTCATAAAAAAGTCAAGTCTAACAAAAAGTTACCACAGTTGACTGAAAATAAAACATCTTAAGTACACTCTTTATAATACTCTTTATCATTCATGCACACTGAGATGTTTTTAGCCTTCCTGTATGTTTGACTTATTTTTATCCTCACATGCGCCGCCATTCGTCACTCAGTCTCCACTGAGACTGAGTGACCAAGCCCCTTTCCCGGGTTTTACTTTTGTTGGTAATTTTATTTTTTTGTATCCGTGATATATGGAGGACACACCCGTCTTGTGCGGCCATTTTCTTACATCGCAACTTTGTCTACGGAGGAGCAGCGGATTTGATATGAGCATGCTTTAATCGGTCAAAGCAGGAGCTATGTGACTTGTTTCTTCACTAACATTGTTTTAACTTTATCAAATCATCTTATACGAATCATTTATTTAACAAAAGATCCATGGCGGCCACTGATACACATTCTAAAGAAACACAATTCTTATATGGTTAATGCAAATCTCAAACATCAACTGGCAGACACGCACGTTTTGTATATATTTCCATTACCACTCATTTGACTGCGTGGCATCAGGACTACAGACAGGAACCTGACCAAAGACAAAACGAGTTAAGACACTATTGCGTTGAATCTTACATTTTTTTGTACTAATGTAGCCTGTACTTTATAGGCAAATATCCAAAACATGGTGTTTCATATTGTAAGTTTGAACAGCTAACAACTGTCTTCATACTTTCTTATCTTTAATGTTCATTCAGTGTTTGATACATGTATTCCCCTGCCTATGGCTTCAAAAAGGAATTTAGTGAGTTGTCAAATAGATTTGGATGAATTAGCAAAGAGAGAAAATGCTTGTGGCCATGACTGTTGGGCTTATGATCTATGTGGGCTCTTGACTCTCTCCATATGCTAATACATAATTAGCATGCAGGGCAGACTTGAAAACATGTACATGGCATTGAGTCATGCTTTAATTAAACTCATATCTGATTTGTAGGATGTGTCATTAGTGTGAGAAATAACCAACATGCATTTTTAATCCTGCCTCGGATCCCATTTGAAGTGGAGCCTGAGGTTTCAGCTCATTTGACTAGGACCCCTGTGGGTTGAAGCAAGCCGCGGTGACAATATCCAACAAATGAAATTCTCGTGATAGAAGAAAATTACTATAGGAGACAAATCCCTAATTGTTATGGAAATTAAACTATATTATACCAATAATGTGCAAGCACTTCAACACCATTGATGATAAGGCGTAATATACTACCTAAATCTTACAGAGACTTGCATGTTCATAGATCCACATAAAAATGCAGGTGCCATCTGAATTTTGGTTGCTATTGTGTAGCTAGTAACATATTTTCATCCTCAAATATTCCAGAAAGTGCACTTCATCGGCTTCCATTTCTGCTCTGTGCTCATTTCTATTCCTCCTGTGTTCTATTTCCATGTCCAGCTTGGCACACTTTCTGCAGGCGCTGATAGAGATAGAGTAGAGCAGTAATGGTGGCAGACAGGCCAGATCTCAGCTGTAGACTTGGCTGGGCACTGAAGGGAATGTGTGCCACGGGACTAATCCTTTGGTCCAGAATGCAGAGCGCCCATGGACTGACCACAGCGTGAGGATATGTCCCGGGGGGGAAGGGCGCGTGTCGGGCCAGCACACATGTCGACTACAGCGGATTATGCTCTGGACCCAGCTACAGGTGGCCGCAGGTGTCACTGGCACTGTTTTTGCAAATTTGGGGATTACTTCTAATCACCATAGTTGATAATTTACAATGGAAAATACTGATGGTAAACACACTATTTTATCAGGTCAAATAAAAAACGTCCAATTTCTTGACTTCCTGAAATCAAAATATTTGACACTGGCATCCAAACAGCGTGTAGGGTTGCTATTATTTGTTATGCCATTTTAATGAATGAATTCAAATAACCCTGCCAGGCAGTGCTCCCAAAACTACAATTGTGGAACAAGGGTATTTATTTTTGCGTGTGATGCAAAAATAAATCTTTCTGCAGAAAGTGGAATTAACACCTTTGCGTGGGAACACGACTCTTGAACAAAAATGCATTGTGAAAAGACTAAATGGTCAAAGCTTGGATTGACTTTGTTTTCTGTCATATTTCAGACATCATTCGTCGACTCATTCGACTCGTTCAGGGCGCACAGGCAAACTATTTGTGCACTAAGTTATCTCGGCATCTCCACTACAATGTCCTACTGCAGTGTTTGTGCTGGATACATTTAAAACAGCCTTTAACTCAATCAAATAAAACATTTCACTTCTTTTTCTTTGTATGTATGATGAATTAAATGCCTCTTTGAAAAACAACATGCAGACACTGTGAAGTTTTTTCACATGGCATCAATCATGCTTTCGCCAACGTTTATTATTATCTGTGTTGATTCAGCAGTTCAACAAGCAGAGCACATTGACATATAGAAGACATAAAACTAATGTATTTTCCTCTCTCTCTTCTCTCTACAGCAGCAGATGGCGAGGAACCAACTTCAGCAGGTGGGATTTTTTTTTCTTGCTAACATTATTCCCCTTCATTTGAGAATGGCTATGCAGCGTGTGAGGAGAGGAGATTGAGAAGCGTAATTTTCTACCTCTTGGCCAGGCGCGTCCCTTCTTTCATTATCAGACTGTGTAATTTCTGTACCGACGAGCTGATCACGCCTGGTCAGCAGCACTTATCATTATATCATTTAGTAGTTCACTTCATACGGCAGCACGATTCACATGCCCCACACCTCAAGAGGAATATAAATCCTTTGTCTGAATAAATGGCTTTCTCTGGTTACTGTGCGCTAAAATCATATAATTCACACATGCAGAATTTTGTACTTGAAGTCTTGTCAAAGTGAAATCGCTGGTGATTTTCCAGTTTCTCCTGTCACTAAAGACATTTTGTTCTGTCACATGCCCTCAATCATACACAGAACCATGCTGTTACCATGGGAATAATTTCCTGTCTTCTTGTCTTGCCCAAAGACACATTGGCAGAAAGCAAAACAAGCGATCATTCCAGGCAGCTAATGGAGCATGAGGCTAAACTTAGTGTTACATTCATTTCTGTTGATGGGCCCGTTGCATTTACTTGGCTTAATTTAATGCAGAATGCTCTGTTTTTGACAAAATTGTACAAATGATGTCTTCTAGTTTGCCGACAAATATAAACTTATGGATTCTGTGAAAACATGGATTTACAATTTTGAAACAATGCATAACGTAAGGTTGCTATTAACAGATTCATTTGCAGCTTGTTTATTTGAGTTTGCAGAATACGTTGCATGGTTTGTAGTTACTTCTTGTCATGAAGCAGTTTGATGCATGGATACGCAGCCCACAAACTCTGGTTGAACAGGTCCGTCGGCTCTGTCTAAAGTTCTATTCTGTCATTTCTCATCTTCCTGCTAATAAAGCTACATAGTGGAGATACAATGTGTTTTTGACATCTGCACTACTGTTCCACATGCTTCACTTTAGCAGCACGGCCTCATGCAGAGGTTTTGTCTCTGATTTGACAGAATCCACTGACCTCACGTACATTATGACTGCTACGACACAATGTGGCAAACGAGAAAAGTCCGTAGCCAGCTTAACATCATTGAAAGCTGCAGCCCTACATAAATGGGCTATTTTATTTGTCATGTTGCTATTGCTATTGAGGTCAAATGAGAAATCTTGTTTTCTACTAAAGCATGGTTTGTAATAGCAACTGTTTTTGACTGACAGCCAATCTCTCTACAGTACATGTCTCCAAAGATAAAAATAGTTTTGAACAGAATCACTGCATAAATCAAACAACTTAAAATGATAGCCACTGTTTTTTAACCACTTCAGAGCCCACCAACGAGTGAAAAGCATCCCATTAGCAGCACTTTCAATGCAAATATGAAATCCATCCAGTCCCTTAGGAGGGTAGCGGATGTATTTTGCTCTTCCCCTAAAACTCGCTTCGCAAATACTTACACTTATCCTTCCTCTGAGGCCATGTTGTGCATTTTGAAGTATCTTTGCTCATTACAAAAACAAATTATAAAAACAAAAGCATGAGGACAGTAAACGAGGTCCCTGCTTCATCCTCATCAATGGCAAAATGAAAGTGTATTACGGTAGGACTGCCATTGCATACAAAGTACTAGTCATGTGCTTGTAGTATGAGTGAACACAAAAGCTCAATTGTTATGTGCAATTATAACTTTTACATTATTAACAAATCAAAAACAAACAGTAAACGGCTTTAGCAATAATTAGCATGAAATACTCAAATTAAATGTGACTTGTGTCCACTGACCTGGATCTGCATAAAGAGAAAATGGGACAGAGCGACAAGGGAGGGCAAATTATAGGTGACAGATTTGAGGCGTTTCGTTGATTAGCTGCTGTCCTTTACAGTGCACAACACATTGGACAGTGTCTTTGTGCGCTGTCCTTCAGCTTACAATGGGTCCCGTGACGTGAGCTGTATTAACCGCTCAGCCCAGTTTTTTTTTCTTTTATGCTACAAAGGGGAGATGTCTATTATCGTTTGACTACAATTTATTGTTTAGGTTAGATTTATCAAAAAGTGAAGTGTTCTTTGCATTTTTTTAAAATCAGTATTATGGACCATTATTGTATATATTTGACATCACAATTATTAATTACACAATTCATACAGGAGGCCACCTAAAGTGTGCGGAGTAAGTTGGTAATAAATGTGCAGACGGGCACAGATTGTGAAAATGTCTAAATTCAAAACAATATCCCCTTGAATGCAGAATTAGTTTTTTTTTTTTATAGCAAAAGCAATGAAATAATCCATCCAAAGTAATGCCTTGCATTGCATGGCTCTAAAAAGGTTTTTTATTTTTATTGCAAAAGCACAGTGACATTTCCGTGACATTTCAGTCTCTGAGTTCGCCACCTCAGCTCCTGCTTTGATGTTTCTCCTTCAGGATCATGTGTTCCTTCATTGTGACCTCCACTTGTCAATATTTATCTGACAACTTCCTGAGCCATTTTGTTTTTGTGTGATTCCTCTCGTGTCTAACACTAAGTGCTTCTGGGCGACATTGTCAGACGTTGACAGCTGCATGCATTGACTTGAAGTGGCATTATTCTTGAAGGGCAAGCTGGAATGGGAGGCCAAGGACTCTCTAAAAGCCCCTTAATACTGGAGACAGTAGCATTTTGCATCAGCCAAGGTGAAGGAGAGAGCTGGTGGGGAAGCACTGAAGGATGAGAAGCTCAGTTTAAAATGGATTCGACACAATTAGGCCATGTCAAATTTGTTCACGATCAGGTCCAGATCCAGTTCTGAGAAAAGATATTTCACAAATTGTTAAATGTAGTCCAATGTAAAATTGGACTTTCATTCATCAGTATTAGATAAAGAAAACTGCAAAATATTGTCAGTTATAGTTCAGTGTTAGCCTGGCCATAGCCATTCGTACACTCCGCTTAATCATCATTTCACTGCATGTAACGTCTGGGTCTGGTCCCTGTGTTAGCGAATACAATCGGTCATATTTCGACCGGCTACTCAGAGAGCGCGGAAGGCAGGTGTTGTAGGTCGGTGCCGGTGACGTCAAGAGTTTGCGCCGAACGGGCAGGTTGTAGTTTGGCAGTGGCGAAGAATGCAATGGTAAAATAATCCGGTCTGGTTCTATCAAGAAATTGAAGCCGGAGCAAGAGGAATGTTAGGCAAATGTAATCGCTGGTCAAGATTGTGGCGCTACTCCCCACGGGCTCCGTTAGCAGCAAAGGAGATGGCTAGGCTAAATGCTAAATGCTAACAACACACTCGGGCATTACATACGTCACGGTAAACTCAGATCCAATCGTTTCAATCTTCAAAAGGAGTTAACCCCTCCCACCTGTTCACGGAGCTCAATGGAGAAAATCCAGACCTTAGTATGGAATGAAATTTGTACTAAGGTGCGGTACAACCAGGCTAGTTCAGTGTATGACCTAGATCGAATCTAAACATCGACTCATCTCGTGTGATCCAAACCTGTGGTTTTCAAACTTCATTTTTTTGGGTCATCAGCCGCAGATATTAATTTTATTTTTTAGTCCGGTTTAAGAAAAGGAATTTGTTTTTTGTTATCAGATTGATGCATATCACACTACGAGACATGCACATTTATAGGTCCGCAAGCATGCAGGAGAGGGGGGATATTCCACTATGAGTGACCAAAGGAAGTATTTGTTTGAGTCTGAAATTGCAGATTCAACCTAAACATATGGATTATAAAAGAGACTGTAACGTTTCGGGAGTTGCCTTCATCAAACGCTACGAGAACGCCTGAAGCTTCGCCCAAGCTTGAAGCGTCCACGAGGTCCGTGTGCGTCTCTGTGAGTCTCTGTGTGCGTTTGCTCGAATGTATTAATGAAGATATTCTGCACAGTGCTGAAAAACATGCCAGACAAAATTCAAGGATTGTTTAACTCAGGTTGTCAAAAATAGTACAAAACTGAGAAGCAAATTGCCTTTCCATAAGAAAGGGGTGAAAAAGAGGCTTTATTATTTAAATGGGTGCCAACGCGTTTGGACAGCAGTGGTCTTCATCAGGGCTCTCATACAGAGAGAATCACCCGATGTCCTTTCATAGTAGGTCATGTTTCAAGCACACATTTACCACAGATTATATACATAAAAGATCAAGGCTATGCTCACACTCAGAGAGCAGCCGTCCTCCTGTGGACTCACCACCTGCAGACGGTCAGTGAGGGGCTGGTGCTATGAGACTTGGGTGGCATCTGTGACTGCCACCCCCCTGACCCAGAAATGGATTAAAGGGTAGAAAATGGATGGATGGATATATACATAAAAGCACAAAAGACACACCAAAGTGCCCACAAATGTTAACATTTATAACACGACAAATTATTTGCGGTATGGCTCAGAGAGGTATGAACATATAGGGTTAGGGCTGCCCAATAAACTAAATTTTTTTGTCATTGCGATATTGATACCTGCAATATCCTTACAAAGATGTGCAATAATTTAAAAATATTTATGTATTTATATTTTATACGCGCACTCCATTGTCGCCTGGAGCAAGTAGAGCATGCAAAGAAACAAAACAATCATACAAATGCAGTGAGAAACAAGTTATTACCTATAATTGTCGAAGGTTTGTGTGGTGAGGGTGAAGTAAGGGAAAAGTATGAAGCTTTGTTACCTTGTGGTAAGATCTTTTACCTACAGCGAGTGCTTGTGAGAGATGATCCCATTTCGTCTAAGCTCTTTTGCTTTTATTTTGACGGAGCACTTGTGTCAACTAATGGTCAGATATGATGAAGATTTATTGTTGGCAGTAAGAGGAGGGATCACTCTGTGACAAATATTTCAAAATATACACACTCACACACTTGATATCGGCTATATAGGGAGGATAGGGAAATAGGAAGTTATTTGTGTTTAAATGTATGCATGGATTGGCCCCTCAGTATCTGACTGATCTGCTTGTGCCCAACGCCAACGCTGGAACACTGAAGCCTCGCTCACCAAACGCACATTC